AGAACCTCTGCTTCCATGCAGCTGACATGCTTTTCTCATAAATGTGTAGCAAAGACCATTTGCAAATTTCCAGCTGTTCAGCATCCAGCAATTCAGAACTCAAGCACCCTTTTTTCCCCCTCATTCTAACTTTTTAAAGTATGATTCTTGTCATGGAAAATCCAGAATTAGCATTCTAACATCACATGCTTAACTTCAGTGTGCTATACTTGAAACAGTCAACCTAAAATGTGAGCATTTTCACTTAGAATTTGCAGAATTCCCAGAACCAATGTTACCATACAATAAGGTTCTTTGGAATAACCTTGTATAATGCCTGGTTTTAAGGGCACAAATTGTTACAGCCTGAATTCAGAAGCATGAGAAGTCCCTGTATGAATCATCAGGACTGTCTGCCACCTTAGAACAATTGGGCATTTCTTGTTCGGTAATTTTAAGATGACGTTTGAAGAACAAGAAATAAACCCTGTGGATTAGGGGTGTTGAAACCCTGGCCTACAAGCCAAATCTAACCTGCGCTGCTTTGTCATCTGACCCACTGAGCTCCCCATAGATCTGCATATCTGGCCACAGGAGAGTAGTGGCAACATTAATTGCTGCTCCCCCGTTGCCAAATTTCTGGATACATGGGGAACCTGGCAGGCAGGATAGTGTGACCCTACATGCTAAATCAAGCCTGGTCTGATCCCGGTGGTACAGGACCCAATCCCATGTCCTGGCCCCACACCATTCACCCAGCCATGGGGCCAAAAGGTTGAGCACCACTGCTCTGAAACAAAAATTTTAAGGTATTTGGCTCCTAATTTGCCCCTAGGGATTTTCATGACACCATATCTTTTTTTTTTTTAAAGCATTTTTTAAATAGATCAATGAATAGTCTAATTAATGCTTACTAAGTTATACCCTCGTTAATAAGAATTTAAATGAAATCATTTTAATGCTGTAAACCTTTTCCTTGGGAGAAGGAAGGAAAAAGAAGATAGGATAAAGTGTTTTCTGAGCAAAAACAATGTGAACAAATCAAAATGAGTTTAAAATCCAATTTCTGTTGAAGTCAATGGGAGTATTTTGCCACTAGCAAGATGAACAGTTACATCAGTATATACAAAAACATGACCTTTTTGTTGAAAATATCATTTTTATCTGGATTTAATAAGACAGCTTCTGTAGCCAAATTTTGTAAAGCACTGGCATTTTTTCTTAAAGTGATAGAACTGTGGTTTTGTTTTAAATGGGTAATGTCAAATTTATGGGCATTATAATGGAATTATGCCAGGCTGTGCTCAGCACTTCTATATTTGAATGTGAAAATTTTATTATAAATGAGAAAAGTGATGAAGATATGGTAGTGCTTAGATGTCTCTTAGGCTAGCGACGGGACAGACATTCAAAAAGCCTGAGCCTGAATTGATTCAGTCTTTGCAGGTTAGTCTAAGCTACCTATGTTGAACTAATTTGGAAGTGCACAGACATTCCCTCTGGAGCAAGGAAATGCAGGCACATGACTGCAGTGGCTCACGTTAGAAGACTGCAGGCGCTAGAGCAGTCCTCCCTTCCCTTCCCTTCCATAATGCTGAGCTGAGGCGGGGTATGGCCAGGCCCTAGCAGGACGATCTGATTAGGGAGGGGTTTAAAACCCCACCCTGGCTGTACAGTCCTAGGCTTTTCCCTGCCTGTTGCTGAAGGGGCGGAAATGTTACCCCTAGCTAGCACTGTGAGGCAAAGGGGAACAGGGGTGGGAGGACTGTTTGTGTGCATTTAATGCATCTGTTAATGATACTGAGCTTTGCAATCTTCCTCTCCCTGCTTTTTCATACTGTCTGCAGCAAACCTGACAGGCAAGGAAGCCAGCAGGGTGCTGATAACACAGTATTTAGCAGCCCATCAAGAAAACAAAAGCCTCTCTCATTAGTTCAAGTTCTTCTTAAAACAGCTTTTTCCAAGGAAGGAACAGAGGGATATTACTAGCTGACCTGTTGATTAGCTCTAAAAAGCCCTAAGTGGACACTGTCCTGTCTCCCTTTATTCTGTCTGCCTTTGCCCTGTCCCAGTGAAATTGGAAACACACACATGCAGATACCGCCCAGCATTAGCTAGTATACCACATGCTGGTTAGGGTCTGTGGGGCTGGGATTTGTGCTGTGGGAGATGGAAGGGATGGGGGGGATCTCTGCTTGAGCAGTGAGGGGGTGGGGGGACAAGGGGAAGCCAGGCAGACCTTGCTGTGCCTGCAGTCTCTGTTGAAGTGCCTCTATGTGAACAACACCTACTCACTAGATAAGCTTTTTTTTGCCCTAGTCATATTTGCTGACATTAATTAAAGTTTGTATTCTTGTCAGCAGTGCAGAGTATCAAAGAACGCTTCAAAAGGATGAATACAATCAAAAATACTCCTGTACATCATCAAGGAAATGTCTTACTGTGTTCAAATAACAATGCCAATAGGTCACACTTAAGCAAATATGGTGAAAGCAGCGCAGTGTATCATTGAGCAAATAATTACAAGATACTGGACTGCAGAGATGTAATTGAGGAAAGAATGTTGTGAAGAGTGAGAAGAAAGTATCCCAGCTTGACTTTCAAATATCAAGCTGAGTTTTTGGGTTAGCAGAGAAACTCAGAATGCTAGATGAAGCAGTGGCCCAGGCACATACAGGAAGGCCTATAATGTTGTTTTCAGTCATTTTTCAGTGTATATATAAAATTGCATTTGAGCAATACTAGTCTTTACAACTGCTGCATCATTAAGACCATGAGAAGGAAGAGTCATTTATGCTTACATTTGATGTTGCAAGGTAGCAAAAGACCAGGAAAGTTTCTTGACCCCCTTTCAGGCTTTCGCATTCTCCCAGTGTCATAATCTGTATGACAAATCCAGATGGTCTTTTGGAATTTTAATTGTATTCTCCTTTTGCTACTTTTTACTTGTTCAAAACCATTGTTACAAATCAATAGGAAATACATACTTTGTCCACCAATGTGGTGGATATTTGCTAAATCAGTAGTTGTACCTCTGCTTATCTGTATATCAATAATTCACTGTTTTGTTTTTATTCACTGATGCATCCAAGTCCCTTCCTCCCAACTTGTAATTCATTGAGTATTTTTAATTGGTGTTACCACTGTTCCTATTTTAAATACAGTACACATTAATGTTTCTACTTCAACATTTTCATCAATGATCTGGAAGTGAATATTACCATTAATGCATAACTTTTGGAGCAATTTGTAGAGAAACTAAATGGACATTTTTTGTTCAGTAATTCAGTATTATGGGGGATTTATTGGTTATCATTTAATTTAAATTTCAGGTGCATGTTTTAACCTCAAACGGTTAAAAAAAAAATGGAATTACATCAGTTGGACAACATTATTTCACATATGTAATGAAAAAGTAGAATTGTGATTTTGGCTTAATAAAATTTGTCCTTTCCTGGTGGAAAGAATGATTATCAAAGCAGATGTTACTTGCTTACAACATATGTGAGCATTCTTATGCACTTAGAACTGTTGTGTCATTACAACCTTAACCTCCTTTTCCTCACAAACTTTCTTTGTAATCTTGAAAGGAATGAGCTTAACATGGTACTGAGTTGCATAATTGTCATTGGTAGCATAGGTGGGTTTTTTCCTTGTTTTTAGAAAAAAAGTAAGAGTGTAATGCTTATTTTTCCCTAAAAATAAATAAATAGATAAAAGGAGTATTTAAGGCTGAAAGTTATCATTTAAACCCAGCTCCACCAATCCGATAAAACCAGAAAACCAGGCAAATCTAGAAGGAATTTAAAAAGTGAAATTAATTTTTTCAACATCTGTTTTCACCCAGGTAAATGTTCATACATATTATAGGGCATATTGATAGTGTTTGTTATGGAGAGGAGAGACAGGCATGGGGCCAGAGCTGCAAATCCAGATCAGGATTTCAGATACCTGAACATTTAGAATTTTTGGAATTGGGCCCACTTCTAGTTGTGTTATGGTAGTTCACATTTCTGGACACCAGATGGTGCTGCCATCTTATATAATGTACAATTTCCAGTTAATTGAATCTTGGTTTACTTCCAAGTCCAAATTAAGTTCCACAGGCAAAATCCTTCAATGTGCATCATGACCAAGTATGGACTTCAGGATTTAACCCCCGAAGTTTGTTAAATTGTCATTGTACCCTGTCTCATAATTTGTCACTGGTGTTATGTTTAATATGTACTTAAAATATCTTACGGTTAAAATGGTTCGTATCCAGTACTTTAGATCTGATTAGACAAACATTTAAGTAAAGTGATAAAATATGAGTTGTAAATACCACTTCAAAATGTAATGCCTCTAAGTGTAAAATCCAAGAGTGGCAGTTATTTTGTATTTGTACAGATTGTCATTTAATATAGCTACATGAGTAAGATTAAATTGGAAAATTCTTTTAGGTAGAAGCAGCTTTTAATGTAAATCCTCATACTTAGAAGGCAGTTATAGGAACTGATGAAAAACAAGGTACCATGTGCTGGCTAGTGTCTATAGATTTGGTTCTGAGTCTTAGAAGCATAAGCTGGCATCAGAAGGGGTTGTTAGTTATTCTTCATTAGAATTAATCCAGAGAAACCTTTTGATACAGGTTTGTTACATATATACGCTGCGCTATAGTAGATTACTTTGTGGATTCTTGCATTTCACTTTTTCTGATTTAAGCAAAATTACTTCTGAGATATCATGGCACACAATACATTTAGTAATAACCCTATGGAAAAAACTGGTCGAGTGAATGAACGGAATAGTATGTGTCAGTAATTTAGCTGACTCCAGCAGGCAGAGATTAGTATTGTAACTGATTTCTAAACTTTAATACATCCCTAATAGCTGTTTCTTAAAATAAATTGTGAAAAGAATTTCTAATTTAAAGTAAATTGTTCAAAGCATGTTAGTAAAATTTTGGTAATGTTTCCATGTCTTTTGCTTACTACTTGTTTTAATATGTTGTTTACTATTTTCTATTTCTATTTGTATAGATCCACATATTAAAGTCTCTGGAAGAAAAGAAAATGTTAAAGAAGCTAAAGAGAGGATCATGTCTGTCTTAGACACAAAAGTAAGAAGAAAGTTCTATTCAGGTGTATATTTTTGTCACACAGCATGTATAGTAGCATGCTGAAATTGTGAGGGGGTTGTCATTTTTATTGACATTTTACATTAAAATTTGTCAGTAAAAGTCTTTTTAAAAAGTCTCTGCACTGAGATGTGCCATAGGGATGAGATATACAAAAATGGTAAAGGTGGAACCTGCTGGAATTTTGTTAATTTATTTTATGAAGGTTCAGGTGTGTAACGATCAATTCACTAGAGAGAAACGTATACTACATTTAAAAATTACAAGATCAGCAGAAATAATCTGACCTCCATCAATCTAAAATTGAATCTAAATAGTCTTGCAAAAAAATAAAGATAATGGCTGCATAATCATCACAGAACTGGAAACTTTCCCTATATTGTACTCAATAGAATCTCAGTGATATTGAATAACATTAACTTTTACAGTAGGTCAGCTTCTATACTGGCATGCAGCACATCTGAGAAGACATTTGTGAGACTTGAGGTGATGTCACTTCCTGAACGGTTTCCTGCTTTTTCTCTTTTACTCATCATAACTCCCAAATGGCTTGCTTTTAAAGCACCAGTTATGTTTTGGTGTGGTGGTCTTGCCAGTGCCTGGTGTTTCATACTTATTACATTATGGGCTTCGGTGGTTTAACTCTCTGTGGTCATGAGGGATGACAAGCTGGCAGAAAACTAGAGGGCAAGGTAAGGGGGGAGAGAGAACTATGAGATGTGCAGGGTTTAGGACGAATGGCCAGGGTCTTGTGGAAGCACCAAGAGGGTCCATATAATAGTCTGAAGGAAGGACCTTAAGATTATGCCTCTGATTCTGTAAGATTGGAAGCACATGTGGCCTGACATCTCATTTATGCCACCATAAAAAAAATTAATATGGTGGCACAAATTACGAGCAAATAATTGTCACTACCCTTTTTCAAGCCACATCAAAGGAAACTCAGGTAAAAGGCAAAAGGGAAGAATAAACTCTGCCACTTTATTGTGGCAGACATCTGTTAGATTTGTGATGAGTGAGTATGGCCAGCCTGAGCTGCTTGCATTCTCCAGCCAACCCAGGCAGTTGCTCCATGGGCTTGAAGGCTTTTCAAGCCCCTAGAGCATCTGCCCAGCTTTTTCTGCTTACAGAGAGGCATCCTAGGGATTCTTATGGCACCTCTCCATAAGCAGAGAAGTCAGGGTTCCCCACTTAGCCAGACTCAGGCCTATGATTGCGAGGGGATGGGTCTTGCTGAGTTGGGAAAGCAGGGCTTTCTCCTCTCCACCAGACTTGCTCCTGGGATTGTGAGGGACAGGAATTCTGTGCCATCTACTGACATTTAAAGTCTGTTGGGTAATCTTCAGATCAGTCATTCCTTTACTGTGTACTCTTTTGCATATGCTGTTCTATGGATTGTTATACACTGAAAAATCTTAAGTAAAATTAACTAAAAACATATCCTTATTGGCCTATTTTAAATGTTGTATAAAAAGTACCAAAAACCCTTTTCTTGTTTTAAAACCTTGTAAAGCTTCACTTTTGTTTTTTTTAAAATAATATTGTTCTGTTTTCTAAATGTTGCTAAGGTTTTTTTTTTCCCTTCTGAGACTTAAGGACTGGAGCCTACATGTAAGCATTTCTTATGTTCATCCAGACTGAAGCTAAAAAGAGTCATTTTTCCTTATTGACACAATGACCTTTTGATCCACAAAGTAAAGATCACCAGCTGGGATCTCTGGGGTAGAATATACTATTATATTAAACCACTCCTCCTAGTTAATAATATTCTATTGTGCACGTGGAGTTCAAAATTTTGTTTACATTAAACTTCCATATATTTAATTTAAATTGGCACAATTAAATACTTCCCACAAAAAACATATAATAAGAATTCAAAAGGTATGATGTTAGAAAATTAACCCGTTTTTCCAATAGCGTGGAAGTTTGTTTAACCCCCCCCCCCCCCAAAAAAACCCTCCTACCTTAAGTAAATTGAAAATGTCAAGTGGCAGCTGTCTCTGCCGTACTTCTCAGTCCCCTCATTTTGTCATTTGTGAGACTCATGGTACAGGAGCCTAATATGTTTATTTCCATATGATTTCCTTATGACAATATGGTCATGGTACTTGGTGTGCTTCAGTTGATGTTAAGTCACTGATGAAATTAGATTTTCAGAATGCTTTACATAATTGTTTAAATTCCATTTACTGAAGAACACTAATGCTCAGATACTCTATTCTAAAAGAATCCAAAAATAATAGAGTCTTTGACTTTTAGAGTAACAGGGTCACCTTGAAGATGGATGTTTCACATACAGAACATTCTCATGTAATTGGTAAAGGTGGCAATAACATTAAAAAAGTAATGGAAGAAACAGGATGTCACATCCACTTTCCAGACTCAAATAGGAATAACCAAGCAGAAAAAAGCAATCAAGTAAGTATTACTTAATATTTTGTGTATATTATAAATGTATGTAATTCTATATAAATCAATTGGATCACATATATAGAATATGGAATGTATTACATAAATATAAAAGTATTACTATTTTTTTTCAAAATACTAAACATTTCTGGTGTGATTATTTTCACTAAACATTTGATGTTTAGGGAAATACGTTGTTTATATAAAATTTAGTATGGAAATTCATTGGTTTATTCCAAGTGAAACTAAAAACTTTTTCTTTTATCAGGTTTTTCCCATGAAAATCTTCATCTCATAACAATTTATTAAAAAGATAAATACTGATTACGCTTTGAATACATCAGTTTTTTTCTATGTCAATTTTAAGTTAAATATGTATTTTTCAGACTTTCATTATAACATTAATTTCTTCAAGTTCAGTAAAGCACCCAGGATGAACCAGGATTGAATGTATAAATAATAAATATAACATAATTTTATTATGTATAGAGTTCAACATTAAAATGTGCTCTCTTAGAATAGAAATTGTAGTGCTAGTTCTGACTAGTTATATTGGTATTTTGATAACAGGCTTCCAGGGGAGGGATTCCTCCCAATTGCTTACTGTAAGCTTTCAGAACAAAAAATATCTAAAGAGAATGTAAACATTTGGAGGTTTTTTCCTCAGATACTTCATAAGAACACTATACGTAATTTTATATGTTCTCAATTTCCAGGTGTCTATTGCAGGACCACCAGCTGGTGTGGAGTCTGCCAGACTTAGAATAAGGGTAACTATGTATTTTTAAGAAATAAAATGGCAAAGACACTGTAGAGGAAAACAGTTGAGAGAAAAACAATAGTTCTGTACTCTGTCTAGGGTTGTCTAATTCTGCGCTGTGACTGATATGCAAATCATATTGCCAAGTCCAAAACTGCAAGAAAATGAGAAAAAAAATATTCATAGAGAAAATAATTTTTGTTTGCAATTTTGTAAGTGGTAGATTTCAAATAATAATCCAAAAATAAGCTTTAAAAATCTCAGACACTTTGTATATGATAGAAATATGTGAATAATATTTGTGGCCATATGGATTAAATGCATTGAATCCATATTAATGCACAAGCATATACTCACTCAGGGTTTGGTTTGTTTTTTTCCGAACCCACCAATAGAAAGGCTATCTCTAACATGAGCTGTATAAATTAGTTATCATCTAGCAGTCTTTATGCTAAAAAATAACCATATTTACTTGCATACCACACAACATCTTCCCCCCTCTTCCCAGCCCCCCACCAAATGAGCCCTTCAAAATTGGGGTGCATATTTAAGTGGGAAAGCTGGTCTTTACTGAAATAGAAGCAAGGTAGAACAGAACAAGCAGATGCTGTGACTCATGCCTGCCCAGATGGCTGCCATTTCTCTCCATGGATACAAACAGCAGAGCCACAGTCCAATATTAATTCTCTCACAGCCACAGATGAGCTTTTTGCTAAAGAGCTAATGAACTTGGTGAGGGAGAGTGAACTGCTGCATGCAGTCTGTAGTGTCTTGATGAAGTGTGTGGCAGGAAACAGCAATTTCTAATTTATAGGAACTCATATAAAGAGCTACTTACAGTAAAGAATAAGGGTGCATCAATAACGATTTTTTGGGCCAATACTGATGGCCAATTATTAATCAGCCATATGCAGCCCAGCAGCAGTGTCCGGCTGGTAAGTCTGTTGTGGGGGAGGGAGGTGAGTGAAGGGACATGGGGGGATGGGCAGATCAAGGCCCCTGTGGTGTGGGAGGGAGTAGGTCTGGGACAGGCAGGCACTGCATGGGCAGGGCACAGGGCTGTCACTGTGCACTCAGGCCTGAAGGCTGCACCAGCCTCTTCCTGGCAGGGGGGCTGGGCCCAGGCTGTGCTCAAGGCAAGCCGGGTGGAGTGGGCAATGGTGGTGCTGGGAGAAGGGCTATGGGAGAGCTACTGTGAATTTTGGGGTGACTGTAGTACACCCCATAGCCCCACCTCCTCTAGGGGTATCCACATGGCAGGCACTGTGTCCCTGCCCCCCAGAGGAGCCTCAGCTCTGTCCCAAACCCCACCCCGCCCTGGCTGGACGGCACCCGTGCCTGCCCCAGACCCACTCCCTCCCTCACCATGGGGGACCTTGATCTGCCCCTCCAGTGCCCCTTTCCTTTCCCCTCCCCTTGTACCACAACAAACTTACCAGCTGGTGTAGTTCTCCACGCTGCCAGGCTTTGCTCCTCACCACCTATGTGCTCCACTGTGGCTGCACGCATGCACTGGACATTTAGTGGCCGTGTTATCAGCTACATCAGGCAAAAAAAGCTGATTTCTGATAGTCAATTTTTTTCATATCGGTGCTGATTCAATATTGGATTGATGTATCAATGCGCCTCTAGT